CTCATATATCCTTCACTTAAAATGCTGTGTGTGCATTCATACCACTGCTGTACCACTAGAGCTGTTTTTGTTTAAAAACAACCTTGTAGTAGTTATAGCAGAGAGGACTTTAAACTGAACTGGATACTTTGCGCTTCAATACAAAATTACAGTTTTAACAAATGAGAATCTCAGATGCTTATATATTAAATTATTGCATCTTCACTCATAAACAGCATCTGTTTTCATAGCTCATATTTACATGAGTGGCAAAGTTTTTATTTTAACCTTTAAAATTTATACCCTGCTTCAAGCTTTTAGGAAAGGTGACTGTTCTTAAACAGTCAAGAATCAAACTGCTTGATGTTTTCTTTTAAGAGTGTAAACATTTCTTTTTGTAGGGAATCACTTTAAAAATGAATGAGCTGAACCACTGCATTGTGGCAAGAATTATGCACGGAGGAATGATTCACCGGCAAGGTAATCATATGTCATAGTTTTGTCTTCAGTCACAATTATTTAGATCATTTGGTACAAACTATGCAATCTTACATGCTCCTCATTTTGAGTCTTATTATTCCATAGTAGTGTACCTCTGTATCTGGATGGAGTCCTATGAAGTGCCTTTGTTACCTTCCAGTTGCAGATGTCTTCGAGCATTTTGAGATGATGGCCCACTATGTTTCATTTAGGCCTTAGTTAGGATAATGGGAGTATAGCTCAGTAAGAGACTGAAATGCCAGTAGTTTCTGGAGCTGTACTTACTTAATCCTCTTTTTTTTAAAAAAAAAAAAAATATCCTTAGACTAATTATAGTACTTTTCTTTGTAAAAATGGAAGCGCTTTGTTCAACAAAAAATTAAAATTTTGCCATATATTTTCACACTGTTCTTGAAGATCTTTGTACTTTTGATTTTGAGGCTCATAAAAACGATTTATGAAAAAAAAAATATTTCTTGTGCCTAGAACTTGAATCTTTATTTTCAGTTTTCACTACTATAGCAAACCCTGCAGACATGCATCCTTTCTCATCTCTGGTCTACTCCTTTTTCCATTTTGTGTGTCCAGATCAGATGTCAAAAAATAACTGGACTTTGTCCTACTTTAAACAGGTAAACTTTCCTGCTAGGTTGCTAGCTGCACGTTTGGATTGCACCCTTAAAAAGGTTACTTTAGTTTTTTCAGTGCCATCTTTTTCTTTTGATGAACACAATTTTCATAATTTATCAGACCAAAGTTCCTCCTAACCTACTGTTCTATTTCAGAGGAACCTAGGAACAGGTAATTAGGAAGACAAAAGATGAAGCAGGGAAGGGGTACAGCGATCCTTTCCCTGGTATGTTTGCTTCATCTCCTTGACATGATCAAACCTGTCAAGAGGCGAGGAGGATAAAGCTTTTCATATAAGCAAAGATGCGATTCATATAGACTTCTATATTCCTTTAGAAGAGCCTCCAAATTGAAATTTATTTGGCTTCTGAAAGTGAATTTTAAAAGGAGATGACTCTAAGATTCACAGAAAGAAGGTTTTCATCCAACTGTGCTTATGTAGTGGTGATCCTCTGCAAAGCATTGTTTCACATGACTATGTTCCATAATGGGGATAATAAAACTTTTAAAACCTGTTAAAACTACATAAAAAAATCCAACTATTTCTATCCAGTCTATTCTTTTCTTTTTAATTATACAGTATCTTTTATTTCTAAAAATGTGGGAAATTTAACCCATTTCATGTATGCTTCATCTAACATAGCTCTTCTGCACATAGGTTTAGTTTGAAAGCGAACTATACTTCACTGTTTCTGCAGTATTGTCATCTTTTTTTTTAATGTTTCTAATTTTGTTAGTACTCCAGATGACTCTTAGCTTCACTGCTTCATTTAAAATACCTATATTTAGAATATTTTTACTGAACAGATCAATGCAAATGTAAGTTGACAGTGATCTTGAGCAGAATGTGTCTTTGAATCCTATTGACAAGGTCTGTGGCTTTTATTTGTTGCAGGGGTTTTTTTATGTTGTTTCTACTGTCTCCTCTTGCTATGTGGAAAACTGCCAGGCAATAACAGCAATGACTAGATTATAGATCTACTGGGAGGGTTACAGGAACTATGTAATTTCAGGTCTAGCAATATTAAGTACAAACTGCGCAGTGTCTGTTCACAAAATAGTAGCTGCTGTGAAGTCTGCCTCCTACCTCTATGCCAGCTGTATCTAGTCCTGCTGATTATAGTTGTCCTTATAAAGAAGGACAACTACAGAGAAGCTGAAGTAGGGAGATAGGCTTGTGAAGATGCTATCTGCTTGCACCTTCCAGAGGATCGAGCTCATTGAAAATGAAATACCAGTTTCAGTCATTAAAAATTGTCTCTTTGTTGACTTGTCTGCTTTTTTTAGGGTAAGTAAATGAATCGTGTCTTAGATCTCAGGCTTTTAATTATGCCTTGGCTTTCACTTTTGTTTCTGTGGCTCAACTTAGCTCAGTTGTCCATTCACTTTTTACCTGTGGATTCTGTTTAGGCTATTCATACAGTAAATACTATTTTCAGAGGATCTGCGTATAGCCTGAGTTCTCATCAGGTCTCAGTTTGTTAACCCATGGGGTTTTTGCTGCTGACTGGTTTTGGGGCATACATGCTTAAATGTGAATTCATTCTTAAGAAGCATTTAAGAAAATTTCCCAATATGGCATTTAAAAAGACTTCCAAAGAAGAGAGAGGACTTATTTGCTGCCCATTTAACCTCACCAGAAAAACAACAGTTGTACATTGTCCATGCTACATTCTCAAAGTGACCTAATCTAAAACACACCAGTTTTTAAAACACTGATACCACTGATAACATTTATCCAATTCTAACAAAATATATGTGATTACTTGGTGAAAATATGCTTATAGATTCACAGCTTTTCACTTTCCAAGCTACAGAATTTTCTTTTGGCTACAAAATATGTTTCCAAATAGGGACTCCAAGAATTCGTTCTTCTTCCTAATAGGGTAGGATTTCTCATACTTGTGTGCTGATCAAGAGTACACACTTCCTAAAACTGTCTTCACTCTGACTTGCAAAGTCAAAGAAGGAAATTATTTACTCCAGAATTACATCCATTCTTTGTTATTACAGATGTATTATACATCAGTAAGTCTTGAATAGCCTAAGTTCTAAATAAACACTGCACTGCCAATAGAAAAGGAACAAAAAACAACCAAAATTATATGGTTAAGATAGGTATCATGGGAGCTACAAATCGTACAGAAGACTCATTATTCGAAGATGTCAAGAATACTCTTTTCCAACAAGAGTATTTATAAAGAGTAGAAAGTTTCTGCAAATAATAAAAGCCTCTTTCCTCAGATTGAAAATGTCTTCTTATGGTTTATTGATACATCCACCCCCCAAAACAGAATGACCATCTACTGCTAAATGTCCATGTGTTTTTCCCAACTTTTATGTATACTGCTCCATTCCAGGCACGAACAGAACAATGTTCATTTCTGTCACAGTAAACAGAAATGGGAAATGCTCCAGAAGATGGGATTTTATTTAAGTGCACTATTGAAATGATTTGATATAGGGATATTATGGAATCTAATTCTCATTCTAATATTTAATTCCATCAAATTTATATTTTGAATAATGCCTAAGAATCTCTATACTGTTCCAGGGCATATGCTCTTTCTGGTTCAGTATTATTGTTTAATAGCAATTACACTTACTTCAAACACAATTTAATTTTGACATGATACAGTCAACACAGAGCCTCATATTTTTTTAGAATATTTTTTTAAGAATTGGATATTGAATGCCTTCCTGAGAAAGTCTGCCAAAACTGAACTTTCAAAGTGTTTCACTAGAGATTTGGTTATTAATATTCTAGATGTGAACTAGATTAATTTGAAATTCAGATGCAGGACAGTTGCATTCACATTCAGTAAACTGATAATTGTGATAATTTTTCCACTGAAGAGTTGAAGAAGAATTGTGATGAGTCCTTTTTTATAATTTCACTCTCAGCAGATCAGCTCCTGTAGAATTGTTTGATGCATTTAAATGTGGCTGAAGGAATTGCTGGTTGACTTTCAAGGATCATCTCCTCCAAGTTCAAAGGCATTGCATCCCTAAAAGGAAGAAATCAGGCAAAACCACCAGGAGACCTATATGGATAAACAAAGAACTCCTGGCTAAAATCAAATACAAAAGGGGAATACACGAAGCATGGAAGCAGGTCTGGTAACCTGGGATGATTACAAGGAAGTTGCTTGTGTACTCAGAGACCAGGTTAGAAAAGCTAAGGCCCTGACAGAGTCAAATCTGGCCAGCGATATTAGAAATAACAGAAAAGGATTTTATAGGTATGTGAGAGAAAAAAGGAAAACGAGAGAGAATGTGGGGCCTCTCCAGAAGGATACAGGTGACCTGGTTACTGATGACAAGGAGAAGGCTGAAATATTCAACAACTTTTTTGCCTCAGTCTTCACTGGCAACCGCTCGAACCGCACCACCCAAATCACAAGAGGATGCTGGCTGGGTCTGGGAGAGTGAAGAACCACCCAGGGTAGGAGTAGATCAGGTCTGGGAACACCTAGAGAAACTGAAGGTGCACAAGTCCATGGGACCTGATGAGATACATCCACGGGTCCTGAAGGAACTGGCGGCTGAAGTTGCTAGGCCACTAGCCATCATATTTGAGAGGTCCTGGCAGTCTGGTGAGGTTCCTACAGATTGGAAAAGGGC